TACTGCCACATCTACTTTCAGTGCATCTGCTGGAATGTTGTCTGGTCCTGCTGCTTTGCCACTCTTGATTTGTCTGATGGCCATACTAGTCTCATCAATTGTTGGTGGGCCAACATTGATTGGGAGGTCGGTGGGTGCTGCTTCGATGTCGGGTGGGTTCAGTAAAGCTGGTTGATTCAAGAGTTCTTTGAAGTGTTCTGCCCACCTGTTTTGCTATTCTTCAGTGTTGGTGATTACTTTGCCTTCCTTGCATTTCACTGGTCGTTCTGGCTTACGATTATTTCCAGAGAGTTTCTCTGTTGTATCATACAATTGTCTCATGTATCCTTATCTTGCAGATCGTGAAAAACCTGGAACGTATTGCTGAGGACTATCTTGAGTTTGTTGGGTTTGTCAGTATCCTGAAGAAAGGCCGTATTGAACTTTTGTGATGTTGTCCGCCTCGTTGTCCAATGCTACTTGAGTTTTAATTTCATCTTGGCAACCATCAAGTGATGATCTGAGGCTATATCAGCTCCTCTCTTGGTTCTCACGTCTTCCATCGTCCTCCTGAACTTTCTGTTGATGCAGATATGGTCAATTTCGTTCTGCGTAGTGTGACCCGGTGAAACCAATGTGGTTTTGTGTATGCGTTTATGTGGGAATACACTGCTGCCTATGACCAGCTTACTGAAGGCACATAGGTTTGCAAATCTCTCACCATTTTCGTTTCTTTCTCCCAGTCCGTGTCGTCCCATGATATCTTCATATCCAGTGTTGTCCGTTCCAACCTTGGCGTTGAAATCTCCCATCAGAATGGTCAGGTCCTTTGTTGGGCACTTCTCGACTATTGACTGCAGCCTATTGTAGAATTGATCTTTAGCGTCTTCATTGTAGTCGTTGGTAGGCGCATAGCATTGGATGACGTCCATTGAAATGCCTTTTTTCTTTGTTTTGAAGGAGGCTTTGATGATCCTTGGTCCATGAGATTCCCATCCTATAAGTGCATTTTGTGCTTGTTTTGATAGCATCAATGCAACTCCTTGTGTATGTGGGGCATTTTCTTCTCCATGGCCGGAGCATAATAGAATCTCCCCTGAAGCTAGTCGTTGCTATCCAACTTGGGTCTAACTCCACCTGGAGCCCCTCTGGGGCTACTGCCGGTCCCAAGCCTGGATAAAGGAGTGTTGGGCATAGGGTTAGCGAACCCATCCCGTAGAAAACTAACTGGCTAACAAAGCGCTAACTAGAAAAAACTATTCAGACCAAAAGAACGCGATAATAGATAAATCCATATAATAAGAAATTCGAAATATTATTTTTAGAAATGGTTAACTACATCGTAATACAAACGGATAAGACCTCTTTTTATAGATCAGTATCAGTAACGTATGAAACATTAACGAAAAGATTATAAAATAGTGTTTTTGTAAACTACTGCAACATTATAAATCTTTAATATATTTTTTAATGTTGACTTGAAGAGTATGTTCATCTAAATTTGTAGTTTATACTTTGTTTAGAAATCCAGATATGATTTAAAATGCTTATAAGCACGTATTATAAATCTGTTTGATCTTTGAAGACTTCATACGAAACATAGTCAATGACAAGTTGGCATAGTGTGATTGATATTCATCTGCAGTGTTTTTCAAATGACACGTCGTATTTCCAAGTATATTTAGACATTGTGAAGTGAACGATTGTTCCCACTAAATTTCTACTGTTTGATTAACTAACCCTTTATATAAATGAAATCTCGTAGGCTCGAGCGCGAAAATATACTATCCTGTGAGGTCTGTGTTAGTTCCTCCAGTATTCCTTAATATTATATACTTTTTGTCGGACTCCTTTTCTTGTATTACATCATACTACTGAGTAATCTTCAGTAACTGACTTCATTTCCAATCATTTCCGACCCTATTACCAATAATGGACTCACACTGTTGTATGGTATTTCCAAGTATTTATATAAACTTATGAGATCCAGTTTACTTTTTATTTTACTTGTATCTTCCTTAAAGCTTTGTAACACTTCCGATACACATTTTCCTATCTGTAACGGTAAATTAAATGTCATGTGTAGAAAAGCAATCACCGATCTACAACAATATTAGATAAATAACGCCTTATTTATATATTATGTGAATCGATATGTAGAGGCTACTGATTTGCTTTCATATGTTATCATCGCTAGTGCCATCCGATACACTTACTACTGATCAGAAGACCAAATATATTGAATTACTCGTCCATCACCAACCATCATGTCAAAATGAATCAGTTGGTAGTAAGAGCGATCAACTAATCACATACTTTCATAGAGTGGAATATCAGTCAGTCAGTCAGCTACAACGTAGGACCAGGCATATATGTGCATCGGTCCAGGCTGCCATACCTCATTAGCACAGCAAGATGAACAGCGGATTCATAGCAGTGGTTAGGTCAAAGGTTGCAATAAGGATATAGTATAGGAAGAAAGAATTAGTTCGTAGACAGAAAGAATGAAGTGATTTTAGTCTCTTAGTTTAAGGGAAGACAGGGAGTGTATACACCGACGCCATTGTGATCGATTCTGAGCCATGTCACCAAGAGTCTCCAACCATTGGTTACGATAGTCACGCGGACCCCAACCAAGTAGTCTGCATCTACCAACATGGCTCAGACTAGAAGTTAGTGACTTCAAGCACTGATGCCACGTTTTGGTTTGGCCGCCCCTAACTTTCTTCCAACCATCCCCTACACCGGTTAGCATTGCACGTCGTGGTAATCGGTGTTCAGGCATACGTAAAACGTGGCCCAACCATCTCAGTCGATGAAGATTAACAACCTCATCAACTGATTTACCATCATTCCCTAATACCCTGCGTCTAACCTCACTATTACTTACCCGGTGATCCCAGCAGATGCCAGCAATATTTCTAAGGCATCTGTGGTCAAATACTAGTAGCTTACGGGTGTCTTCTACTCTTAAGGGCCATGTTTCGCTGCCGTAAATTAAAACAGAACGAACTGCCGCGCAGTATACTCGTCCTTTTATTGATAGACGGATATCTCGCCTTCGCCATAGGTGACGTAAGTTGGCAAAAGCCAAACGAGGTTTTCGAATCCGTGCTGAGATTTCGTCAGACACCAACCCATTAGGGCTGATCAGACTTCCAAGATAAGTGAAGTTGTCAACGCGTTCAACTACTTCACTCCCTATCCTTAGTTCAGGTGTTGACCCAGACCAGTCCTGAAGCAACAACTTGCATTTAGAGGGAGAGAAGCGCATCCCAAACATTCTGGCATTGTTGCTTAGTGCTACCAGAAGACTCTGCATTTTGTCAGCGTCTTCACCAAACAAAACTATGTCATCTGCGTATTCTAAGTCGATAAGTGGACCTCCTGGAAGGAGATCAATACCCGAGAATTCAATCGACGAGAGTGTTATTTCCATCAATAGGTCTATGATGAAGTTAAACAAAAATGGAGAAAGTGGACAGCCTTGACGGACACCACTTGAGGTTGCAAAAGTAGATGACAGTTCGCCATAAGCCCTGACTCGACTAGTAGTGTTCGAGTAAAGAGCCTTTACAAGGTTTATGTACTTCTGGGGTACGCCTTTCAATGACAGACACTGCCACAGAATCTCGCGGTCTACCGAGTCAAATGCTGCTTTTAAGTCAAGAAATACCACCATCGTCGGACGCCGATAGGTATGCCTGTGTTCTAGAACCTGACGAATGGTGAATATGTGGTCGATGCAGCCACGACCAGGTCTAAAGCCAGCTTGGTTCTCTCAAGTTTGTAGTTCACGAGTCTTAGTTAGGCGTTTGATAATTATCGAGGCCAGTATTTTAGATACTATGTTTGTTAAACTAATCCCTCTGTGGTTGTCACAGGATGATTTTGACCCTTTCTTATATATTGGGACGATAAGTGATTGCGACCAGTCAGATGGGATAAAGTCTAATTCCCAGATCTTAGCTAAAATATTAGTCAACTTAATCGCTAAAATTGGACCACCATCCTTAAAGACCTCTGGAGCCAATCCATCTGCCCTTCCTCGTTTCAGATTAACTATACGAGGAAGGGCAGCTGGTCCAGATGGATTGGCTCCAGAGGTCTTTAAGGATGGTGGAATATAAAACAAGATGTCAAACACCAAAAGTTTTGTATCACCTACTTCGTTCTTATTCTCAGGAAGGTTTCGATATTTTCTAAACTGCATCAAGACTCTACTCACATACTGTATCAGGTGGACAATATTTGTTGTATCCACGTCATTAATATAATTGCTTCCGTGGAGAAGACAATTCAACACTAATCTTCTTTGGCGTCATATTTTATCATATAACATGATTAATCTCATAAAGACTGATAGTTATAAATTAACCAGGACGCAGAACGACTATCATAGTTACAAATGACTAATCATTGAGTAGTGACAAACGTCATGCTTGTCTAGCGATTTAATGTTAGCCGAACACTACCAATGAAGTAGTTACGTGGTCACTAGTTCAAGTGACTCAAAACATTGCACACTAAACTGAAGATGTTACGTCGTGATAAAAGGAATCCGCTGTCATGGAGCTTAACAATTCAACATGTTGGTACTGAGCTATTTGGGCCGTGACTAACCACCTGTACGACTCAGATAAGACGCGCGTTCGAATTCCTCAAGGAGCATCAGCTCCCTAAAGTTTCAGGCACACTCTACTGACGAGTGCCGACCAGCACGAAACCCAGGCACATGTTTTCCTTTTGACTACCATAAACTATCTAGTGATTTCCAGTCTTTACCGCGATCCCAATTACGACACGTTAAACTGTCTATTAGGAATATGTAAGCTATCTACAAATAAACCGAACTGGTTCGCGGTAACAAATCTCTAATGACTTATACAACGACACCTAGATCATACATATTTAAAATACATTAATTATAGAACACAATCCTATCCCCAGAAAACAAACGGAACAAATCTAATTACATTCAAAAAACAAAGATATTCCAACAAATCACTATTGTTAGCAATCAACAGGTCAGAAAATTTATTAATCAAGAAAAATCAATTGTTAACCTTATAATCAAATTTTAAAAACAAAAAAGGCGATCAATAAACAAAGTAGAAAATAGAAACTGAAAAAAAATTAGCATAAAAACATCAGTTCTCTGAGTTTTTTTTTCCATGGAAGTGAATCAAAAATAACAAAAAATGGAAAGATAATTCATTCCTCTACTTTATAAAGAATTGACGGTATAGTAAACAATCAACTGAATTGTAACACAGAATTCTACTTTTCGGGATAGGTTCTTCTTAAACTTATTTGTGCTGAAATAGATAAACATTGGGAAGAAACATTATAAGTAGTTTAAGGGTGGTAAATTATAACCAGAACTCTAACCAAACTATTATCGCAAAGATGGCTAAACTAAAAGAACAAAGACAACGAACCGACTATGAAGTATTAATCAACCCATTGATATATTCCACTGATTCTATTTAGGTACGGACAGTTATTCAAAATAAAAGTGTACACGTATTTCCAATTGAATTCGTTTTTTATCATATGAAGAATGTAAAATATGGCCTATTCAAAAATAATTTGTCATATTTTAATCACTAAGAAATTCCCATCATATTAAAATACAGATATGTGAACGAAGAATATTCCTTTCAATAATTTCTCTACAGGTCCTACAATTAGATATGCAAACTATTAATCTAAAACACTGGGCAGTTCTGAGGCAGAGTACATCGTATAAAATTACAACATGCGATTTAAGAATTGTAATTTAAAGTCAATTCAAATCATTATTTATTTAAACACAAATATTGGTACGGGGGAGGCGCGCCAAATACATATGTCCCCTCCAATAACAATAAGATTGTGAAGAGAGAGAGAATGCAAAGTGTGTATAAAAAGAACAGAACAACGACGATCAGAAATCAATGTATGAGAGTATAATAATAATAATATTTACAAATAAGATAAGTTTAAGTAGGGTAGTACGCAATGCCTTTGCTTCCTCTCCAACCACATCTAGGGAGCATACGGTTTTGACTACATAGTGATATCTTGATCAGGTTACTTTTATATTGTAGAGGAATAAAACTAAGAAAATTTGTACACTGATCAGTCCAAGAAGTTCTCTTGCTTAAGTTTCGTCTTAGTGATCCATCTTTTCTCTTTGTAAGCAGAATATCTAAAGAAGTTATTCTACCTCTACTTTCTACGTCACATGTGAATTTTATGGATGGGTGAACTTCATTAAATCGCTCGAGTGTTTCTATCAGGTCAGTTTTAGCTTTTTATTAGAAATAAAGAATGTTAGTTTTTAGAATAGTATTAGTAAAGACAGCTACTACATCGTTTCGAATGAAAGCTATGTAACAGTATGAACATAATTAAGCATATGTGGACGAGGTATTTTATAAACGAGTTGGAATATATTACTTCAATAAAATAATAGGGAAATGGTCAAGTAAATAAGGTATTTGGTACCCATCTAATAGACTAAATGCTTGAACATAAACCCACCTACTTTGATTCAGGCAGATACAGAGTGTCACTAATACTCACATGAGTATCACTGACAGCTAAATACGTAAATTTATATTTGGTTAATGAATTACAGCATCAAAATAATGCATATAAATTCAGTCATATTTTATGAATTCACAATACACAATAATTCATTCTGACAGAAATTACAACTTTATATTCTGAAAGATATTCTTTAAATTTCTCATAGCCAAGCCTAAAATAAGTGCTCACTATAAAAAAAATACAAACTATGAGTAGAAAATCTACCTTACACACATCCGTAAGCAATAACAAGAAAATAATGCCAGTCAAAAACTACGTGTAGTTGTTCTCACTTATTTATCTACCAGTTTATTTATAGAGCAACACGAAGCAAATAAGTCTACCCCGCGCCAGTTTTCGACCAGCTATATCAAGGGGGAAAAGTACATCTAGATAAAGTGGTCCGCAGGTCCACCTTATAAATCAGTCACTATGTCTGCAATCTATGCAGCAGTTTGACTTTTTTCATGACTGTTAAACGTTATTTGGGTTTGAAAACCAACTCAGGAAATCCTGAGATGTTAGTCAGATAGCTTGAAGAGATAAGTCCAGAAGTGAAGACATACGTCTGACTTTACTACGATTAGATGGCATAAGAATTATCATAGGTAGAAATACAGTCGGAAACTGGCTGAAAAAGTAGTACACACTTATTTGCTCGATAAATTTCTGTTGGCGACTACAATTATTTAACCGTATAAGACCATATTGTCAATTATATCTTCGAAGTCACCAACTTTACTAACAAGAAAAAACCGTGTTTATAGTTGTGTAAATTATCAAAACTATTACCTTCCACTGCTGTTGGATAATTCTTATTGATCCTGTTTTCAATGAAGGTCCGAAAAAAGGATGGTACTGTGCAAGGTAAAATCCGATCCAACTAGTACTTCATGAGTTTTAGTGAAAGGAACTTACAACAAATAACAACAGACAGCAGTAAGCACAATCGACACAGACAAGAGCCTGGAAAATTTTATGAGTAATATATTTTGTTTTACATTTTGTTAGGTCCTTTCGGTACAAAAACAGGGCCCAGAACACCAACAAGAAACCAGAAAGCGGAGACAACACCAAGAGGAATGTAGAAACCAACACTCTCGTTCATTGGTTTAGGTTACCGTAGAAAAAGTGCTTTTTCAAAAACGAAGGTTACTAGCCAGCGTTAAAGGCTTTTGAGCAAGTGTGACGCAGAGGACCAAATGCGCGCTATACAAATGGTTCAAATGGTTCAAATGGTTGTGGACGGAATAGAAGAAGCTTTCGCTTAACAGGCTTCCGTGTCTAGTAGCAGGGGATCACCAAATCCTCCAGGCAGGAACCTAGGTATGTTAACAATAAAAGAGGAAAAGAAATTGGTAAATCATAGTGCGATGCTGTCCTTGGTCCTTAAGAATAGGTCAAGTTGCCTCTTGAAGGACTCCTGAGAAGTCGCTTGGACTAGCTCGGCCGGCAGCGAGTTCCAGCTTTCGACAACTCTTAAGGAGTAGAAGTTGTGTCTACATTCCGTCTTGCTATGTTGTGTTTCCAGTTTCTGGGTGTTACCCCTTAGGTTATTGTTCGAACTAAGCTTAAGTAGGTGTTTAAGAGGATGTCCAGAAGTGTTAAGAATACTATAAGCCATTAATAAATCACCTCTAAGACGCCTATATTCTAGTGGGTAAAGGTCTAGTGAACGGAGGCGTTCTTCGTAAGGCTTAGATTTGAGTCCTCGAACTGATTTCGTGGCTCGCCGTTGGATACGCTCCAAAGTGACCTTATCCTTTTGGAGTGAGGGGGGGGAGTATTATGTTTCCGTACTCTAAATGGGGACGGATGAAACTATTGAAGATTGTGTGGAAAGTTCTTCCGTCAAACTGACCAAAAATGCGCCTCAACGTTACCAGTGCAAGGTTTGCTCGGAAGGCATTTTTGTCACAGTTAGCGTAAGACTTTAAGTCATGGGGCACCAGGACTCCTAAATCTTTTTCGACTTGGGATACTACTAGAGAGGAGTTTCCTAAGTTGTAACTGTAGTTTGCGACATGTCGCAGATGGACTACTTTACACTTTGAAGTGTTAAAGGTAAGTCCGTTATCGTCTGCCCAACTATGAAATCGAGTCAGATCCTCTTGAAGTGCCTGTATATCGTCTTGGTTGCGTATCTCTCTCCAAAGTTTCACGTCGTCGGCAAAAAGTAATAAGTCTGACGTTACCTGTTGAGGAAGATCATTTATGTAGATCAAGAAGAGAAGAGGCCCTAGTACTGAGCCCTGGGGGACCCCACTAGGACATTCCATAGCTTGAGATAAAGTGAAATTAACCCTAACCTTAAAGTGTCGATTTTTTAGGTATGAATTAAGCCAGTCGATTAGAGGTGGTTTGATACCTAGTCGTTTGAGCTTGTTGATAAGACACAAGTGGTTAACCTTATCAAAAGCTTTTGAGAAATCAAGGTAAATGACATCAACCTTTCCCTTGCGATCGAGGATGCTTGTCCATCTGTCCACCGCAGTCAGCAGGTTGGTTATACAAGAGTAACCCTTCCTGAAACCATGCTGTTGGGGTGAGAAGAAATTTAAGGACAGTAGGTAGTCATTTAAACCGTCGCATATCAGGGACTCCATGAGTTTTGAAGGTAACGACAGAAGAGCTACCGGCCGGTAACTTGAAGGTTCATTGCGTCGACCACCTTTGAAAATTGGTGTGATGTGAGCCAACTTCCAATTTTCCGGTAGTTTGCCTCGGCTAAGCGAGTGTGAAAACATCACGCTAAGCGGCGTTGCCAGGATTGAGGCTGCCTCCCTCAGTATGGCAGGATGAACCATATCCGGGCCAGGAGAAGTGTCAAGTCTTAAGTGCTGCAATTTCCGGAACACCAAGTCAGCGCTTAGGTCCACTTCAGAAAGTCCTGTGGAGTTGGAGATGAAACTGTCGTCGATAAAGTTGATATCAGCCGGTTGAAATGTTTGAGAGTAATGGGCCGCCAGAAGGTTGGCGGCGTCACCATCGTTGTTGGTCGGGCCGTTAGGTCCTAGCAGTTGAGAAACTCCTGTTTTGGCTTGACGAAGCGAGGCTGCATAACGGAATAGGCTTCTAGGGTTAGAGGCGAATTTGTCCATAAGCTTTGTTTGGTACTGAAGCCTGTCTTCTCTTATAGCCTTCGTGCATGTGTTCCTGATATGTTTGTATTGCCTATACGCTCCATCGTTATTAGTTCGTTTGTATTCCGCCAAATAGTGCCGTTTGCGGCTTAGGAGGCGAAGGGTACGGTTCGTGATTACTGTAGGTGGCTTGCAGCTTTTGGGAACCGTTTGAGGAACTGAATGGTCTGTAGCACATAAGAGCGTGTGCAGTAAGAAGTCCCAATGACCATCCACATCGATTTGAGGGTGAACATCCCAAACCACCTGTTGTAGATAGTCATGTAGAGCTGGCACATTCAGCCGTTTAAAATTCCAACGCAAATTATTGTTGGGATACCTTAGCTTAGTTTTGATGACAAAACTGAAGGCTATGACGGCATGATCGCTTTTTCCCAGAGGAGCCAGGATTGAGAGGTTGTCGACTAGGAATTCTTCGTTAGTGAATACACAGTCTAAGCGCGATGGTGTCTGACTGTTTCTCCAACGAGTTGCCGACCTCACATTTTCATATAAGCCCAAGTTATCGATGAGGTTGAAGAACCGAGCTTCAGTTGAGTTGTCGCCTCCAGTGTACGTGTGTTCCGCGAAGTTGACTCTAGGGAGATTAAAGTCCCCTAGAATCAGGATGTGTGTGAAACCGAGACGGATAGAGCGGGATAGTCCTTCCAGCATACGACTATCGTACTCGGTGTCGGCAGTTGGCTTCCTGTAAATGACTCCGACTGGACACCTGGAAGTACTAGACAACCTTACAGAGCACCATATGGATTCCTCAAGATTGTTAAACTCGAGGTTGTGAACCTGGTGCACCTCCAAGCAAGAGCTTATGTATATGGCTACTCCGCCCCCAATTCCTATTTTTCTGTCGTTGCGGAACAAAGTCATCCCAGGTAATGCTAACTCTTGATCCGAGAACTGAGAAGATATCCAGGTTTCAGATATTCCTATCAGATGGGCCTTGCTAGCGTTGCTAAGTTCACGTAGTTCATCCAGTTTGTTTGGTAAACTCGCGGCGTTCGTATATAAGCAGTTTATGCTTTCAATTTGGAACGCATGAGCTTCGTCCTGTTTTTCTGTATGAACCTTATGTGAATGGACAGGTAGCCCACCTATATGAGGTTTGCCGAGGTGGTAGGCCCTGTCCTTTACACGTTTTTTTTATCGTTTAGACAGTCCACAAGTGGAATGGTCAGCTCCAACTTGCCTTTGTTCTTGGTCCTGACTTCGTATGGCCTATCCGGGTGCATGTGGATTCCAGGTGGCAATCGACGTCTACTAGCACGAAATGCTTCCAGAACTGCAGCCGCCATGTGGGAAGATGGGAAGGTTATCTTCATTAGACGGGGTCTAAGATCGCCGTCCTTCTTGGCTAGTCTCGTCACATGCTGAGTCAGTATGTGTTTGAGCCTCAAGGACTGTTTGATGAATTTCCATTCCCTGATGTCAGAATTTGATTGAGTAGGGTCTGCATTTTCCGGTATACCTTGGACAATTATGTTTATTCCGCGGAAGAACTTCTCGCGAGATTCTTTAGGGACGTTTCGTATGATATTGCGCTCAGAGTACGGTATGTCGGGCAATATTCTTACGTTACCATCTGATTTCAGTAAGTGACTTGCTAGCAAGACGTCCTCTACGTCGGTAGCATTCTTAAGTGTTACTCGGAGAAGCCTCGGGTGATTTAGATGCTTAGAATCCTTTCCTCGAGTGAGCCGGGTGACCGTCAAAGGCTCTATTCTAGGAAGTTCGAGCTTCTTGTTCAATTCACCCCACAGCATCCTGTCGTTTTTATCCTGCAGACTGAGAGGAAGGTCAGGATTGTCGACGAGGTTCATGATAATGAGAGAATCGTCACGAACTGTTGTTAATTTACCAGGTTTCACGATGGGTTCAGGTTTAATAACTTGTTGTTTGGAGGTCAGTGTGCGTTTATGAATCTTGGGCTCTTTATTGACCGGACGAACAGTCTTGGGGGTAGACTGTGCGACTAAATCACCAGTTATTTTCCGTGCAGCAACACTTGGGTTGCTCGGCTTAGGCGGTGATGCCTGGTTCTTTTGGGCTCTCTTAACGTGGGTCGAATCGCCTGCAGGGTTTTTGGGAACCACTGTTGTGTTCAGGGACCCTGAGCTGGGAGACCCGAGTTTGCCTAGGGAGTCTAGTACCGTCGACGTCATCATGTTACTGAGCCTCGACACGTCGTCGTTAGTGTTGATGGATGCTCCATCGATGACATACCTATCGACATCCCTATTTTTGAGTCCGTTGCGCGCTCTTGTTTGTATACTGGTTTTTTTACTGTCGTGTTCCAAGTTAACTGACAGCTTGTTTCGAAGACCTGTCAGTAGGACAATGATGTTACTCAGCAAGACTACTGCGTCCGTGTTGCACGTGACACATACCCACTTTTGGTCTGACTTGCTGAGTTTGTTGTAAGCAGTTGCTGTCAGATTTGTGCATGCTTCGTGAAACCAACCTTTGCAGTTGTCACACTGCATGCCAGTTGTGACAGCAAAACGGCATCCCGGACGTTTGCATGAGTTTTTCATGACGGTGTTGAAGCAAACTATGTTATAGATGCTGGCAAAAGCTTAAGACCTTTTTTAAAAAAACACTAAAATGCACACTGAAAACGGACAAAAACGGACAAAACGAGTGATATAAACTGAAACTAGTCTATACGTGAAAAACAAAAAAACCGAATAGTAAGCTGAGGCAAAACCACAGGTAACTATTAAATATAGTGAAACTCAAAAAAAAGTAATCTACCGAACGTATAGCTCAGGATAGATTTTTTAGAACTGAAATGGTACTTTTGTTGCGTAAGAACACAGCAAAAGTTTGATATATGCAAATCACGTTAGGACTAAACTTCCCGTTTTACTGATCAAGGTCGTTCCAGGACAAGCGGTCTATCGATTTATGTTAATCCTTACAGTTCGTCACACTGAGCAGGTTCGATCTCGTTTCGAAAGTATTGACAGAAGGTGCCGATACTACGTGTTCTTGTGGAGAATTATGGTAATTCGCTACATGATGTGAGGAACGGAACTCAAGACGATGGCTAGCCGCTTG